CACATGTGTGTGAGAGAGGGAACAGAGCCCCGCACACATGTGTGTGAGAGAGGGAACAGAGCCCCGCACACATGTGTGTGAGAGAGGGAACAGAGCCCCGCACACACAGGTGTCAGAGAGGGAACAGAGGCCTTGCACACACGTGTGTGAGAGAGGAAACAGAGGCCTTGCACACACATGTGTGAGAGAGGGAACAGGCTTTGCACACAAGTATGAGATGGAACAGAAGCCTTGCACACATGTGTGAGAGAGGAAATAGAGGCCTTGCACACACGCATGTGAGAGAGGGAACAGAGCCCTGCACACACGTGTGTTAGAGAGGAAACAGAGGCCTTGCACACACATGTGTGAGAGAGGGAACAGAGCCTAGCACGCACTGTTAGAGAGGGAACAGAGGCTTTGCACACACACACATGTGAGAGAGGGAACAGAGGTCTTACACACGTGTGTGAGAGAGGGAACAGAGCCCCGCACACACATGTGTGAGAGAGAGGGAACAGAGGTCTTACACACACATGTGAGAGAGGGAACAGAGCCCTGCACACTCGTGTGTGAGCTGTGGCATGAAGATGTGCGAGCAAGGCGCTGAGCAGTTGTGGCAGCTGATTGTACCCGGGTGCCCAGCCAAAGTCCCTGATCTGCCCCACACGCTGCGGGCAGCCGGCCGCCGCCTCCTGGGAAGGCTTCCTGCCACTTCCCACAAGAGGCCGAGCGCCTCTGAGAAGAGAGCGCGGCGCTGGTCTTTACTGAAAATGCTGCTCCTTCCTCCCAGGTGACAGCTGGGAGAGCTGCCAGAGCCGAAGCCAGCACTGCGGAAGCACAGGGGACCCGGTGCCCTGTGGGCAGCACTGGCCCGCGCCCTCCCCAGACAACTCAGGGCCACGCGGCTAGCCAGTCCCCTCCAAGGCGGGCCCCTCCAGAGGCGGGCTGCGAGCCCCGGACGCCAGGCACACGGGGATCCGGAGTTCCAGATGGTCCAGAACAGGCACTGCCTGTCCCTGGAAGAGAACGGGGGTGCCACGCTCCGGGAAGCAAGCGGCACGGGGGAGGACTAGCAGGAGAGGACAGGTTCCCTCCGAGGCCAGCACGCAGCGCCGCGCTGCCTTCGCCGCGGTGGGAGGCCCTGGGGGCAGTTGCACGCTGTTCCCGGTGCCACGTGCTCTGGGTTGTGTTCAAGAGCGTCTCTAACGGCCGTTCCAGACGCCACAACCTGCTTTCATTGTGTTGTCACAGCAGCGAAAAACTAAAAATACCTCTTAAAACATTCACTCCCACCCCACCCCAGGCCTCTCCTAGGTGAGCAGCTCGCTTTTCATTGAGTTGTCTGATGAACACACATGCAGCCTGGGCTCTGGGCATTTTGGAGTCCCCGAGACACAGGCCCAGCCATCCGAGTCATCACGATGTCACCACAGATGTCACCATCCACGTCACCATCATGTGCTGCGTGCTGGTGTTAGGGAGTGCTGCAGGTTCAGCCGGGGACCCCATGCTCCTGTTCACAACCCTCCGTCCCTAACAGGGCCACGTCTAAATGGGAGGCATGCAGCCAGGGAACGTCACTAAGGGCGGCTTGGGATTACTTCCAAGGGAATCTGTTTGCTTCACAACCTTCCTCCCCCCAACCCACTTCTGGCCTGGTGTGGGGGGAAAAGAACACTAATAACTAATAATAGCACTAATGGCTAATAAATGTAGACTGCTACAAGCATTATGGAAAGCAGTTTGGAGCTAAACCCAGAAGGACCCCATGATCCAGGGACACAACACTTGGCTGTGAACCCAAAAGATGACAGGCCAAGGTATAGTGAAGACATTTGCACAACCATGTTTGTTACTGCACAATTCATCTTAGCCAACCTATGGAAACAGCCCACATGTCCTTCAATGGAGGAATGGATCAAGAAATTGTGAGATACATATATGTGTATATATATATATATATATATATATATATATATACATATACAGAGAGAGAGAGAAATAGGCAGATATACATCTATCTACATATATATAATATGGAATTTTACTCATTTATCAGGAAGAATGGTATTGCTTCATTTGCAGAGAAAAGGTTAGACTGGGGGTGGGGGAGGAGAAATATGTTAAGTAAATCAGGTTCAGAGAGACAAAAGGATGCATGCTTTCTCTCCTATGTGGAAGTTAGACCTAACGTAAGTCTATGTGTCTGTGTATGCAGGTGGGATACATATACACAAAAATGTGCTCACTAAATAAAGCAGGCTGTGTGCAGGGAGTTCCGAGGACTCCGCTCCTTGCATGACTCACAGTCTCATGAAATGAATTCCAGGCACCTGGAATTTGCAGCTGCGGGATTAGCAGATGAACGGAGAGAGGAAGGGTGGACGGACGCGGTCATCAGAGCCCACGTCCACGTGTGAAGACAGAAGCAGGGAACCTGAGGGAGGGGCGGGGGGGGGGGGGAGTGGCGGAAGGGGAGCCGCCCACCAGGGGCAGGTGCCCAGCGCTGGGTGCACCGACTGTGTGCAACTGCTGAAGGATAATTTTAAAGGGAAAGAAGGGCATCATCTTACTTTGACCTTCTATTTCTGTTTTACTCAACTCTATAACAAGTATCCACACACAGGATTACTTGGGGAATTTGAAACTGTTTATTAGGAAGAGCTCTGTGCCTGGCTCTTTCTCGAGTGTACAACTGTGGAGCCAGCGTTGGGTCCCCCGACCAGTCAGGCCCCGGAGAAGCCCTCTGGGGTGCATCTGCAATGAGAGCAGCGTTGGTATCTCCAGAGCTGTAAGGGTGCCCAGCAGCGCCATATGGTGGCACTGGCTAGAGAGCCGGCGCCTGCCGGCCTCCCAGTGCTGGTGTACCCGGCCCGGCCCTCCGTGGAGTCAGGGCAGCGGCTTTCTGACTGCCGTGCGGGCAGATGCTGGAGCCATGTTGCCTGAGGCATGCCCAGGCCTTGTTCTATCCAAGCTGGGTCTGAGGGCAGCCTTCGGGCTCGGTGGGCACAGGGGGTGCGGGCAGGAGCCTCTGGCCCTTCGTGCTGACTGTGAGCTCACAGTGCTTGCGACATACTCCATCCCCTCCCCACTCTTCTCCTGTGCTGGGCCTAGGGCCTCACCTGCGCGCCCCAGACTGTGGCCAAGGGCGCTGCCCATCCCCTGCGGCCATCCCAGACCTGTGGCCAAGGGCCTCACCTGCGGCCATCCCAGACCTGTGGCCGAGGACGCTGCCCATCCCCTGTGGCCATCTCAGACCTGTGGCCGAGGACGCTGCCCATCCCCTGCGGCCATCTCAGACCTGTGGCCGAGGACGCTGCCCATCCCCTGCCGTCCCAGACCCGCAGCCGAGGACACTGCCTGTCACCTCCTGGGTGTGAGCTGGGCCTGGCCTCCCTGCTGTGGCTTGAGAGGAAGGAGCATGGGGTTCCTGTAGAACCCCTGTCCTGACCATAGTCCAGGAGGAAATGGCTGTCAAGACTGAGCGGCCAGCCCCTGGGAAGGGCAGGCTGCCCCCCACCCTTCATAGGTGACCCCACACTCAACTCCTGTGCTGGGCTGAGGGACGGCTGCCGCCCAGAGATGTGCTGACAGGGCAGCTGTGCGAGTGGAGGCCTCTTCTCCCCTTCCCACAGCACACGCGGGACCCTTGCCGTGCCGCTGGGCATGGACAGGTGCTGGGCCAACCCAGCCACATGACCAAAGACGCTATGGGGCTCTCTGCGTGCATCTCGGCAGAAGGGCTGAGCTGGGAGCTCACTTGCTTAGACCCAGGCAGGCCCATGTGTGCTGGGTCCCGGAGGTTGCTCAGGCTGCTCCTCTAGTCCCGGGTCTGGGCCTTCAATAGCTGGAGTGAGGGTCCCAGCTGGGGTGAAGTGTCTCCCGTAATTACTCAGGGTCAGAGGGGGCCCCAACCTGGCCCAGGGCTGGGGAAAGTGGGCACGGGGTGGGGGGGTGGCAGTCGCCCACAGATGGGAAGTGCTCCAGTGTCTCCCATGGAAACCTGCCTGTCAGGGCTCCAGGGTGAGCAGGCGGTACAGAGCTTCAGGGGTGAGCTGAAGGCACGATCAGCCCTAAACGCTGAGGAGAGACGCAGTCACACACACTTCTAGGAGGCAGCTGCCCTTTAATGGATAATGCGCAGTTCATTAGGCTTGACAGCCAGCCCAGGCATCCACCTGGCCGGCGAGGGGGGGAGGGGTAGCCACCTGGCCAGCAGGTGGGGTGGGGGGGCATCCACCTGGCCAGCAGCAGGGGCAGGGGGCTGTGGGGGAGGGCAGAGCCTCAGGCTCAACTTTGAAGCCACCACACAGCCGGATGAAGCCTGGCCCCGGATCCTCCAGCTCTGAGTGCTCTTGGCTTTAGAGCAGACTGGGGTCATAAGAACTGGGGCTTGGGTAGGGCTTGGGGCCTTCCATCCCCGGTGTGGACGCCCAGGCCGGAGCCGGGGTGGGCTGTGCTGCACCTGCTCCAGAGCCCCCAGTGTGGAGCCACAGGACACACGTGGGCACGGCCCATGGTGGCTCTCGCTGGCTGGGTGCCCTCTGCTGCTCCTTTGCCTCTGGTCTGTGGCCCGTGTAGAACAGCATGCTTGAGTGCTGGGCATGGTGGCAGCAGGACCCACCGGCCATGGTGAGGCGGCAGCACGCAGGCCCAGGACCTGGGAGGCTGGTAGGAGGCAGGGTGCAGCCCTGGGATGTGTGAAACCTGAGGCCCAGAATAAGTGCTTGGGCTCCCAAAGGCTCCTGCTTCAGGCTCAGCTCATCAGTAGGTTTATGGCTGCTGCGACCCAGAAGCACCAGCACCTGGAGGCCAGTGAGGGCGGAGGCCGATGTGCTGGAGCGGTGGTCACGTGCAGCACCCTGAATGGCAGCAGGAGCCGCAGCAGAGGGGTCTCCAGGCTCTGTTCTCCATGGACAGTGCCACGCGCAAGGCCACAAAGCCCGGAGTCACACAGCGGGCCGGGCTCCGGACTCCTGTGTCGGCAGCTCATGAGCATGCCAGCACCAAGCCCACCGCTACCTGCTGAGGCAGACGCACCAGAGGCTGAGGGCCAGTAGCCCCCAGCTGACGCGGGCACGTGGGGCGCTGTTGCAGAGGTCTGTGTTGCAGCAGGAAGCCCTGGAGTAAGCCAGGCTCTCCTGGAAGCCGGGGCAGGTATAAGCACAAGCTTTTATGATGTTCGTTCTCTGGCCTGGGGGACCTGGAAACGTAAAGCAGAGGACGGTTTACCCAGAGCTGTTCCATCCCTCCTGCTGCCTTCAGCCACCCAGGTCCTCCCTGCCTCGGCACCCCCTCCCTCCCCCGTCCACACAGGAACCACGAGATGTCAGCACATCAGGACTCAGTGTGCGCAGGGTCAGGGCTTGGTGTGAGCAGAGTCAGGGCTCGGTGTGAGCAGGGTCAGGACTCAGTGTGAGCAGGGTCAGGGCTCAGTGTGAGCAGGGTCAGGACTCAGTGTGAGCAGGGTCAGGACTCAGTGTGAGCAGGGTCAGGACTCACTGTGTGAGCAGGGTCAGGACTCAGTGTGCGCAGGGTCAGGGCTCGGTGTGAGCAGGGTCAGGACTCAGTGTGAGCAGGGTCAGGGCTTGGTGTGAGCAGAGTCAGGGCTCAGTGTGAGCAGGGTCAGGACTCAGTGTGAGCAGGGTCAGGACTCAGTGTGAGCAGGGTCAGGACTCAGTGTGTGAGCAGGATCAGGGCTCGGTGTGAGCAGGGTCAGGGCTCGGTGTGATCAGGGTCAGGGCTCAGTGTGATCAGGGTCAGGGCTTGGTGTGATCAGGGTCAGGGCTCGGTGTGAGCAGGGTCAGGGCTCAGTGTGTGAGCAGGGTCAGGGCTCAGTGTGAGCAGGGTCAGGGCTCAGTGTGAGCAGGGTCAGGGCTCAGTGTGAGCAGGGTCAGGGCTTAGTGTGAGCAGGGTCAGGACTCAGTGTGTGAGCAGGGTCAGGGCTCGGTGTGAGCAGGGTCAGGGCTCGGTGTGAGCAGGGTCAGGGTTCAGTGTGATCAGGGTCAGGGTTCAGTGTGTGAGCAGGGTCAGGGCTCAGTGTGAGCAGGGTCAGGGCTCGGTGTGAGCAGGGTCAGGGCTCGGTGTGATCAGGATCAGGGCTCGGTGTGATCAGGGTCAGGGCTCGGTGTGATCAGGGTCAGGGCTCAGTGTGAGCAGGGTCAGGGCTCAGTGTGAGCAGGGTCAGGGCTCAGTGTGGGCAGGGTCAGGGCTCGGTGTGAGCAGGGTCAGGGCTCGGTGTGAGCAGGGTCAGGGCTGGGTAGGAGCAGGGGCAGGACGTGTCCACTCTGTGTGGAGCAGCTTCCGTCCAGTGCTCCTTTGGAAGGCCCTGTCCAGCCTCCCCAGGGCCTTGGGAAGGAAGCGTCTGTCCCTCTTACTTTGGAGGAGGAGCAGGGCCAGGGCAGCAGCAGCTTGTGTCTGAAGCTGCACCCTCCACCTGCCCCACTGAGGCTCCACTGCTCCCCTCCTAGCATGTGGCCCCCTGCACACTGCCCTCCCTCCTGGGACGCTCCCCCCCCTCCCCCCCACTTCCCTCCCTCCTGGGACACTGCCCCCTTCCCCCCCACTGCTCCCCCTCCTAGGATGTGGCCCCCTGCACACTGCCCTCCTTCCTGGGACGCTCCCCCCCTCCCCCCACTGCCCTCCCTCCTGCGATGCTGTCCCCCCCTCCCCCCACTGCCCTCCCTCCTGCGATGCTGTCCCCCCTTCCCCCCACTGCCCTCCCTCCTAGGACGCTGCCCTCTCCCCCCTACTTTCCTCCCTCCTAGGACGCTGTCCCCCCTTCCTCCCCCACTGCCCTCCCTCCTGAGACACTCCCCCTCCCCCCCACTGCCCTCCCTCCTGGGACGCTGCCCTCTCCCCCCACTGCCCCCCTCCTGGGACAGGTGCTACTCACTGTTCCAGGTGGTCAGGCAGTAGTGGGTGTTGGCTTGGCACTCTGTGGGCTGGAGGCAGTCATGTGTGGCCGAGCACTGGTGACACCTCAGGGCCTGGGCTGGGGAGCACGGCTGGCCTCAGGGACCGGCCCTGGGCCAGCCCCAGCTGCCGACGGCCCGACTGCATGGGGCTGGGCCCTGCCTTCTGCAAAGCCCAACTTGACAGCCTTCCCACAGGCCCCCCAAGGCACCAGAAATCACCTGGCACATTCCACATCCAGGATGGCAGAGCAAGGCTCTGAGCAGCCAGCGGCCCTGGCTGTGGGAGGGCAGCAGGCCCTCCCAGCACATAGACGGTGAGCCCACTGGACAGCAGCCCCGCGGTGTGTCCAGATGAGTCAGAAGAGCCAGTGGAGGTGCCCAGCAAAGGTGCTTGCAGAACCCCCAGCCCGGCCACGCTCGTAGGGGGCCCTGGCGGGTCTACTCCCGTGTCCCAGCTCCCCCGAACTCTGAGGCTGAGCCCGGTCAGCTCGGCTTTGGAGAGGAGGACTCACCTGGCCAGGCCAGCAGGAGCAGAGGCAGCAGCCCCAGCCAGCGGGTCCTCATGGTGGGGCAGGGGCCGGGCCGCACAGGCCTGGCCGGGCAGCTGCTGGCTGCCTTTGTAAGGGCTGGGTGGCGGTGCTGGCGGGCGGGGCGCCGGTCCCTCCCGCACTCCTGACTCCCGCATGTGTCACTGCCGGGGGTGTGGTCCAGAGGTAAACACCTCTAGGATGGCCTTGTCCCTGCTCAGCGTCCCCTCCGTGCTGACCATCCCTGTCCGTCAACCCCCCCCTCCCCGCCGCTGGGGACTAGCATCCAGGGAGCACTGACCGCTCCGTGTCCTTGGGAACAAATGCCACTGGCAGGGAAATGGGGTGGCAGCCACAGAAAAACCCCTTCTCGATGGCACCGGTGGCTCACGCCTGTCAGCCCAGCTACTCAGAGGCTGAGAGCTGAGGATCTCGGCTGGAAGCCAGCCTGGGCAGGAAAGTCCCTGAGACTCTTATCTCCAATGAACCACCAGAAAACCGGAAGTGGCGCCATGATTCAAAGTGGGAGAGCACTTGCCTTTAGAGTAAAAGTTCAGGGACACTGTCCGGGCCTTGAGTTCAAGCCTCACAATTGGCCAAAAAAAAAAATTAAAAAGCCCCTTCTCACTGCGCTGAAGGTCAGCACGGAGGCTGAGGCCAGTGCAGAGAGCGAGGCCAGCGTGGAGGCCAAGGCCAGTGCAGAGAGCGAGGCCAGCACGGAGACCGAGGCCAGCGCGGAGGCCGAGGCCAGCGCGGAGGCCGAGGTCAGCGCGGAGGCCGAGGCCAGCGCGGAGGCCGAGGCCAGCGCGGAGGCCAAGGCCAGTGCGGAGCCCGAGGCCAGCGGAGCTGCCCCGTCCCCGCAGCCTCCCCTCGGTGCGTGGACGTCATCCCCCCGGTCCTCCCGTGGACTGTCTGTGCCCCTTTGTGACACCACTCAGATTGAACCACACTGTACCCCAGTGACTCCAAGTGTCCTCAAGCGCAGTCACACCGTGGGGGCGGGGTTCGGACCTCAGGGTCAGTGGGGGGGGGGGTCACAACTGGCCCGTGACAGCCTTTTCCCCCTGCTCTAGGTGGGAGTAGGGCAGTTTCCATCCCCGAATGTCCTGTGGGCAGGGTGGGCAGCACAGCCCCCAGGGCCCCACAGGGAGGGGCTGCTGACCAGGGGCTGGGACCCGGATGGCTGGGGGGCGTCTCCAGAGGACTTGGGTACCAGGTGGCAGGAGAGACCCCAGCAGGAGTACCATCTGTCCCAACTTCAAAGACATGGGAACATGGGAAGACGGGGCGGCCGGGTGTGAGGGTCTTCAAGGATGTCCTTGTGCTGTTTTGTGGACAGAGGGGTCAGGCGGCCCCAGCTTGCCTCCCCAGCCCTGGCCTCCCAGGCCCCCCTCACCTATCGGCCATCACTCATGCATCCATCAGCGTTCCTGATCACAGTCCTAGGAAGCCCAGCCCCCCGCCCCCAAGGGCCAGTGGCCGGCAGCAGGCACAATGGACTCCTCCGCTTGTGACAGGCCAGCCTCAGCCTGGGCAGCCCTCTACTCCCACCTCCCCAAGCCTTCCCTGCACCCAGGAGAGGGGCCACTTCCCACAGGGGCAGAGGTGGGGGTAGGGAGGCCTCTGGCCACCCCATCACTTCCCCTGGGTGGGTGGGAAGGGTCAGAGGTCAGCCCTGATAAGGGAATGGGGTGACACCTTGACTAGTCACAGGGGACAGCCCAGGAGTCTGCTTGTTGTGTTGTGACAAAGCTTGGTCCTCCTGGCAATCAAGACCAGACAGCAGAACCTCACCCAGGAGCTGAGGGTGGGGCCTTACACACGTCTGGACCGGAGGTAAACAGGGGTTGCCACAGGCGGAATCTCTGTGGAAGTTCCCCAAGGAGCCAGAAGTAGCTTCCCCTGCTGCTGACGCCCCCCAGCCATGGCCCACGGCCAGAGGCCCAGGCCCAGCTGGGGGGCAGCACTGCCCACCCCTGAGACATAACCAGATAAAACTCTCCACCTTACACTACCATCAACATGCTAAGACTACAGAATGAGCAAATGATATTGGAAACTGTCAAAGGAAAATGGCAATTTGCAAAAGAAGCTTGCAAGAATTTTCCTTACAATTACATGATACCTGTCAGAATTACATTATACCTTTCAGGAGAAATCCTAAATTCTAAGAAAACACGCAATAATATATTTCTCTCTGAAAGCAAATTGCCATTCAAGATTGCTATATCCAGAAAAGTTACCTTTCAAGACCAATGGAGACACAAAAAGCTTCCATGAAAAGCACACGTGACAGAAGCTCCCGACTATTAAGACAGGACAGCAAACATATTCCCTTTCCTTTTTGGGGGGCAGGGGAGGGCATAGTACAGTGGTTTGCAAACCTAACCAGAATAACAAGGCAAGAGAGAAATAAAAAATATAAATAGAAAGGAAGGAACCAAAATATCTCAGATGATATAATCATCTACTTAAAAGTCAGGGCTGGGAATGTGGCTCAGTGGTAGAGTGCTTGCCTCGCATGCAGGAATCCCTGGGTTCCACTCCTCAATATCACATAAGCAGAAAAAGCAAGAAGTGGTGCTGTGGCGCAAGTGGTAGAGCGCTAGCCTTGAGCAAAAGACGCTCAGGGACAGCACCCAGGCCCTGAGTTCAATCCCTAGGACTGGGAAAAAAAAGTCCTTACCACCTCCACCAAAAAAAAAAGAAAGAAAGAAGGAATAAGATCTAATAAACAACTTTCAGAAAAACAGAAAAATACAAAACCAATAGCTTTTCTAGATATTAATAATGAATACAATGAAAAAAATCAGGAAAATAATCCCATTCGGACTCAAACAAAAATATGATATATAGGTATAAACTTCACCTCTGGAAAAGCTCTAAAGAAAGACACTACAAGATGGAGCATTCTCCCTTGTTCATGAATCTGCAGAAGGAGTATTGTGAAATGGTTATATTACTGATGCCACCCATCAAAACCCCACTGCCATGCTCCAAAGGAAACAAAATCCTACAATGTACACGGAAGCGCAAAAAGGCAAAGTAAGCCAAAGCAATCAAACGTAGTGTCTCGCAGACAGACCCTGACTGGGTCCTGGGAGGGATTAAGGACACAACCCACCTTTGGAAGAGGGCGTAAAGTCGTCTACCTTTCCAGTAACGGAACTTAGTGCTGCTGACGGACTTACCCAGGTCAGCCCGCCTTGTTTTCTATATTATATGCCTTCTTTTTTGTTCCTTGTTTCCTGCATTTCTATCTTCTTTGTGTTTAATTGATTTTTAATTAATTCATTAATTTAATAATTAATTTTAATTAATGGTCAGTTATGTTAGTGTATTCTGTAGACTTATTTTGCCTTGCAACAAGCATGGACATTAGATTAAATGTTCTAAAATTCAACACTTTCGGGCTGGGAAGGTGGCTCAGTGGTAGAGCGCTTGCCTTGCATGCCTGAGGCCCTGGGTTCGATTCCTCAGCACCACATAAGCAAAAAGAAAAAAGCTGGAAGTGGCGCTGTGGCTCAAGTGGTAGAGCGCTAGCCTTGAGCTGAAGAGCTGAGGGACAGCGCCCAGGCCCAGAGTTCAGGCCCCATGACCGGACCCCCCCAAAAAAAAAAATTAAACACTTTCCGTTGTAGTTACAGCCACTTCACTTCAATAATGGCTGGTGATTATGTGGTGGTGATGGTAGTGATGGTGGTGGTGATGATCATCTGGAGGTGGTGGTGGTGGTGGTGGTAGTGGTGGTGGTGGTGGTGGTGATGGTAGTGATGGTGGTGGTGGTGATGGTGGTGATTAGGTGGCAGTTATGTGGTGCTGGCGGTGATGCTGGTAGTGGTGGTGTGGTAATGGTAGTGATGGTGGTGGTGGTGATGGTGGTGGTGGTCATGATGGTAGTGGTGGTTGTGGTGATGACGGTGGTAGTGATGGAAGTGGTAGTGGTAATAGTAGTGATGGTGGTGGTGGTGGTGTGGTAATGGTGGTTGTGGTGATGGTGGTGATGGTGATGATGGTAGTGGTAGTGGTGGTGGTGATGGTGGTGGTAGTGATGGTGGTGGTGGTGGTGTGGTAATGGTGGTGGTGGTGATAGTGGTGGTGGTGATGGTGATGATGGTAGTGGTAGTGGTGGTGGTGGTGATGGCGGTGGTAGTGATGGTAGTGGTGGTGGTGGTGATGGTGGTAGTGGTAGTGGTGGTGGTGGTGGTAGTGATGGTGGTGGTAGTGATGGTAGTGGTAGTGGTGGTGGTGGTGATGGTGGTGGTGGTGGTGGTGGTGGTGGTGGTGTGGTAATGGTAGTGATGGTGGTGGTGGTGGTGTGGTAATGGTGGTTGTGGTGATGGTGGTGATGGTGATGATGGTAGTGGTAGTGGTGGTGGTGGTGGTGGTAGTGATGGTGGTAGTGGTGTGGTAATGGTAGTGATGGTGGTGGTGGTGGTGGTGATGGCGGTGGTAGGGATGGTAGTGGTAGTGGTGGTGGTGGTGATGGTGGTGGTAGTGATGGTGGTGGTGGTGGTGTGGTAATGGTGGTGGTGGTGATAGTGGTGATGGTGATGATGGTGATGATGGTAGTGGTAGTGGTGGTGGTGATGGTGGTGGTAGTGATGGTGGTGGTGGTGTGGTAATGGTAGTGATGGTGGTGGTGGTGGTGATGGTGATGATGGTAGTGGTAGTGGTGGTGGTGGTGATAGTGGTGGTGGTGATGATGGTAGTGGTAGTGGTGGTGGTGATGGCGGTGGTAGTGGTGGTAGTGGTAGTGGTGGTGGTGGTGATGGTGGTGGTGGTGATGGTGGTGGTAGTGATGGTGGTGGTGGTGGTGATGGTGGTGGTGGTGATGATGGTAGTGGTAGTGGTGGTGGTGATGGTGGTGGTAGTGATGGTAGTGGTAGTGGTGGTGGTGGTGAGGTGATGCAGATGGAGGTGGTAGGACCGGTGGTAATGATGAGGATGGCAGACAGGGAGGCAGATGTAGAACTTGGGCTGGCAGCCCTGGGTGAAGAAGGTGGAGAAGCATGGGCAGTTCTTCGCAGGCATGAG